AGAGCAATCTTGGATGTAGGTCTTTGGATTTCATGACTTGGAATACTTCCTTCCAGCCCCTTCTTGCCTGTAAGGTCTCTTTTGAGAAATCTGCTGACAGTCTGATGGGAACTCATTTGTAGGTGACTGTCCCCTTATCTCTTGCTGCTTCTAGGATTCTCTCCTTCATTTTAATCTTGGCTAATATAATTATGATGTGCCTTGGTGTGTTCCTTCTTGGGTCCAACTTCTTTGGGACTCCCTGAGCTTCCTGGGTTTCCTGGAAGTCTATTTCCTTTGCCAGAATGGGGAAATTCTCCTTTATTATTTGTTCAAATAAGTTTTCCACTGGTGGGTGTTCCTCTTCCCCTTCTGGCACTCCTATAATTCTGATGTTGGAGTGTTTAAAGATGTACTGGAGGTTCCTAAGCCTGTCCTCATTTTTTTGAATTCTTGTTTCTACATTCTTTTCTGTTTGGTCATTTTTTTCCTCTTTCTGGTCCACTCCTTTGATTTGAGTCCCAGTTTCCTTTCCATTACTATTGGTTTCCTGTGCATTTCCCTTCATTTTAATTAGTTTAGCCTTCATATGTTCCTCTAATTTGTGACTAAAATCAACCAGTTCTGTGAGCATCCTGATCACCGGTGTTTTGAACTGTGCATCTGAAAGTTTGGCTATTTCTTCATCACTTAGATTTATCGGCTCTGGGGCTCTAAGTTCTTCTTGAGCCATGTTTTGATCTGTTCGTGCCAGTTTGGCTGAAGGGTTCGTTGTTGTCAGACTTCCGTGAAGTTCAATTTTCTGTAGTTTTGGCTGCATTTTTGTTGCTAAAACTTTGTTGTTTTTAAACTTGGTTGTGGGAGGAGGCACAGTGCTTCCACCTACGCCTCCATATTGGCGGAAGTCCCTCCTACACTATTCTTAACATCTTTCTGTCTGTTTTGTTCCTACCAATTATGCTTCTTGGTCCCTGAACCATTTTCCCCCTTTTTCCCCTCCCCATCCCAGCTGATAACCTTCCAAATGATTCCCATATGAATGATTCTGTTCCTGTTCTGGTTGTTTGCTTAGTTTTTGTTTTTATTTTTTAGATTCAGTTGTTGATAGTTGTGAGTTTATTGTCATGTAAACGTTCATAGTTTTGATCTTTTTGTTAACATTTCACGTAATAATGGCTTGGTGATGATGAATTTAGCTTTACCTTGTCTGGGAAGCATTTTATCTGCTCTTTCATTCTAAATGATAACTTTCCTGGACAGAGTAATCTTGGTTGTAGGTCCTTGTTTTTCATCACTTTGAATACTTCTTGCCTGCCAGTTTCTTTTGAGAAATCAGTCTTATGGGAACTCCTTTGTAGGTAACTCTTTGCTTTTCTTTTGCTGCTTTTAAGATTCTCTCTTTATCCTTAACCTTTGGAATTTTAATTACAATATGTCTTGATGTGGTCCTCTTTGGGTCCACCTTGATTGGGACTTTCTGTGCTTTCTAAACTTGCATGTCTATTTTTTTGCCAAATTAGGGAAGTTTTCTTTCATTATTTTTTCAAATATATTTCCAATTTCTTGCTCTTTCTCTTTTCCTTCTGGCACCCCTATGATATGAGTGTTGGACCTCTTGAAGTTGACCCAAAGGCTCCTTATACTACCTTCATTTTTTTGGATTATTTTTTCTTCTTGTTGTTCTGATTGGTTGGCTTTTGCTTACTTATGTTTCAAATCATTGATTTGGTTCTTGGTTTCATCCACTCTACAGTTATTTCCCTGTAAGTTGTTCTTTATTTCAATTATTGAATCCTTTGTTTCTGATCTTTTTTATGCTGCTGGGGTCCTCACTAAGTTTCTTGAGCATCCTTATACCCAGTGTTTTGGACTCTGCATCTGATAGATTACTTATCTCCATTTCATTTAGCTCTTTTTCTGGAATTTTATCTGTTCTTTCATTTGAGCCATGTTTCTTTGTCTCCTTGTTTTGACAGCCTCCCAGTGTTGTATCTATGTATTAGGTAGAGCTGCTTTGACTTTGTGTATGGGTAGTGTGGCCTAATGTACCAGGTGTCCTGTAGGGTCCAGGGGCATAGCCCCCTCATCACCCAAGCTGGGTATTCAAGGTACACCCTTCACATGAGCTGAGTACACCTTCCTCTATAGTTGAGCCTTAATTGCTGTTGGCAGGTCAGTGGGAGGGATTTACCCAGGCTAGTTAGCTGCAAGGATTGGCTATGACCACTGACCACCAACCTCCGCCCTCCATGGAGGATCAGCTGTGCAGGGACAGGGTGTTGGTGGTCTGACATGGTCTGTAGCTATCCGTTGGGTACATTGGCCCTAGGGTATCCTGGGTGGTGTAGGCCAAGGTTAGCCCCCACCTGCGTTTTGCTCAGGGTCACCTTTCCTGAACTACAAAGCAATCTGAGGTGGCTGCTACTTGTGCTGGGCTCAGAGATTCCCAGGTAAAACCAAGCTGTAAAATTAATCTGGCTGCTAGTTCACTGAGGCCGGCTGTTACTGGTTTGATAGAATTTAGGAAGTTGTGGTACAAGAGCCAAGACCAGACTTTCACATGGAAAAGCAGCTTGGGTGGGCCTCTAAATTGGGAATGGCGGAGTCTTTGGGAAAATCCAAGGTGGGTCAAACAGTGTTAGCCAGGTTGATGGAGTCTCAAATATGGCACCAGCCTGCTAGCTCCATGGCTCTGCGGGGGGGAAGGTTCAGAAAAGGGACAATGGCCTCTGCTCACTCTGATACCAGACACTTCAGCCTCTCCCAGTATGCCACTGGTGCCCTTCAAACTGCCATCCCGGCGCTAGAGCTCAGAGGGAGTGAGTCTGAGTGGATGAGCCCATGCATGGGTTCTTTAAGAGGAACTGCATGAGGATCCTGCAGTTTCTTCCACCAGCTCAGTCTCTGCTGGTTTTTGCAGCCAGAAGTTGTGGGGACTTATCTTCCTGGCACTGGAACTGTGGGCTGGGGGCCTGGTGTGGGGCTGGAACTCCTTGCTCCTGAGATATCCCTCCTGAATTTGTATCCACCACAGGTGGGTGAGAGTCCAGCCTGTTTCATATCTGTGCCCCTCCTACCAGTCTGGATGGATGTGGTTTCTTTCATTCCATAGTTGTCAGAATTCCATTCAACTTGATTTCTGATGGTACTGAGTGATGTTGTTCTATATTTTAGTTGTAATTTTGATGTGGATGTGTGAAGAGGTGAGCCGTGTTTACCTATGCCGCCATCTTGAACAGAAGCCACTAATGATTTTAGTTCAAAGGCTTCTTTAGGAGAGGATTTTCTCTCATCCTTTAGAATTAGATGCACTGAAAGAGTTTTGACTATACATGTTTAACATTCTAATTGAGCAAATTCTATTTACAGACCTTGTAGTCCTTGCACTGTAGCAGTGCTGCCAATGTAATACGTGGTTTGGGCCCTCTGAAGCATGGAGATGTACCACAGAAAATTTCCACAGCCATAGAAATTTTGCCTTCAGCTACAAGTCACAGAATTCCCATTTTCAACTACTTCAAAAGTATGGGTTTTTTTCCTTACGATTTATCTCCAAGAAAGCCGTTGCTGGCATGATGGTTCTACATCTCAAAACATCAGAACCAGTCTTTGTGTGATTCTTTTTTCTTCCTCACCTACAAGATTGCCTCTGAAACTCCAACTCCAGGAATCACTTCCACATTCCAGTCAAGGTCAAGGGAAGGGGTGCAGGGGCTGCTCCCCCCAACCATTCCAAATACAAGCTTCCTGAGTTCCTGAGGTGCATCCTCTATCCAACCAGAAAACTTTCACTCATGGGCCAGGGTTCAGTGCTGGGGGCCTGGGGAAAGGAGTGTTTGGCTCCGAGCCTCCACAGCAGGAAGTGACAGTGGAGATGCTAATGGGCATGACCGCTGGGTGGTGGGTCAGCAGACCCCTGACAGTACAAGGTGTTGACATGAGTTCACTATAAGGTCTGGGAATTATATAGAGTAACTGTATCTAATGTGATGAAAAAAATTTTTGTCTCCGCACTGTCTGCCAAATTCTTAGGAAAAGATACATTAGATCTATTGTAATCTTAGGACTTAATCATTAATTAACAGGAGCTTTCAAAATGTACGTTGTTAGCTGGAGTTAACACAGCAAAGCTGCCTCCCCAGTGCGGCTCCTCCTCCATCCTCCCACTCTTCCCACCGACCCACCCAGGTGTGCCCCAGGGTCGTTACTGTCACCCAAACCCTCTCTCTGGCATTGTCTTTCCTACCCTTCCCAAGGAAGGGAACTCCGATAAACTCACAGACGCAAAGGAAAAAGGGTTTGCTTCTTCCACAAGGGCATCTGCTGCAAGGAGCAAGTCAGTTTCAATGCCAAAAGCAGCAGTTTGAAAAATGTCTTCATCTGTCCTATAGTCAGGGGAGTATGAGAATTTTTCCTGCCTATTATTGGGCTCAATATTATAATCAATTAATTAAATTGCTTCATGTTACTTTGCCCCTTTAAAGACAAAAATACTAATGAGTTACCTTTTAAAATATCCAAATCACACTGAACAGGAGTTTCTCAATAGGCCCTGCCAAGACTCTTAATGCTGAAATGTTTACTTTGTTTTGAGTATTATAACATCATTAGACAGGGTGCTCTTATTTGATGTAATGTGCCTGGTCATTCAGACTGCTGTTCCGGGGCCATCATTCGGTGCAGTGAACTGAACGGGACTATACACAGCAGCAGCAGCAAAGTCGTAATGTACATGTTACATTGAAATGTTAACAAAACGCACTTGGCTCATTTGAAATTGTTTACTCATAATATTCACAATTTCAGTTTTTTTAATTGCAGAAGTGGAAAAGTGAAAACATGTTAGCTAGCCAGCTACAAAATACCAAAGCAACTATTGCCAGTAACCACCATTAAAATGGATGAATTGTCAGGAAGTGCACCCACCCTCCACTTCCCGCCCTCCCTTCCTTATGTGGCGCAGTGACAGCTGTGAAGGGCACTTGGGTCCTTAAAACAAACTGTCTCTGTGACTTTTTCAGAGTTCCAAGCTGAAAGGTTACCAGAAAAGAGATGTGAAGCTGGGAGGCCTTGGACCTGACCTTGAGTCCACCAGAGACAAAGTGAGTGGGATGTTCACCCAGTGTTCTCAGGCGTGGAATGACCCCTCTGTCTTGTAGCAAAGACGTATAAGATGCCCCCAGAACCAAGTTCTAATTCAAATGTCTCTGAATGGAGACACGTCTGAAATGGCTTTGGTAACAGAGACCCAGGCATTCTCTGACTGAAAAGTAAAATTACTTAGCACGTGTTGTGTTGCACGCCCACCTTTCAGTGTCAAAGCCTGTGCACAGGAGAGTGGGGCCCATGCACGTGAAAGGAGAGGGTGGGTCGTGCGCTCCTAGGTCTTTTTCAGCAGAGTCATCATGGTAATTTTGAGCAGCGGCTACAGAGAGGACACTTAGGGTAAGAGTTTCCTGACCCACGAAAAGTGCATCCACTTTATTCTCTGTCCTCGAGGGAAAGCAGATCTCTATTCAATGTGTTTTAACTGCAGTTGCACTCAAGGCATGAAAAGAGAGTCTAGTTCAAAGTTAGAAGCAAAAATGAAAATAAATTGGGTAAATGCAACAAAGGAGAGGCTGGATGTGACTTAGCCGATGTTAAGGCAGCCCTGGGTGGGCGGCTGCGCCGATGTTCAGCCTGATAGAGCGAGAGCGAGTGAGAGAGAGAGAGAGAGAGAGAGAGAGAGAGACTGCTTCCTGGAGAAACATCCCTTAACCGCTTCCCTGCCATCTCCTGGTGCCGCCGCGAGTAGGCCTGGCTCGCTGCAGGCAGTGCCACTTTAAATAGAGAGCCCAGCGACCCAGCAGGACCAGTCACTGTGTTTCTCTGAACAGATGCAGAAATTAATACACCAAAAAGAATATGCAAAACAGGTTAAGGAGTACAACATGAAGACACTATCCATTCTGTCAAAACCGCATACAACAAAAACAGAAAATAAATTGGCCATCTCCCGGCAGAAGGTAAGAAATTCTCACAAATGCAGTTACCTTTAAAATTAGAATTAAAAAGAAACCTTTATTACCTCATGAGGTCATGAATGCCTTCACAGTTTTTTGAACACAGGGGATGTTTTAGCTACCGTTTGTCACAGATATGGATGTAAAAACCATACACACACCTGTGACGCTACAGGGTCAGCCTTTCACTTTTCCTGAAGTTTATTATCTTTATTCATCTACATGTTTCCTTCTAAGTGTAACAGTCCCAGTTTGTCACACATAAAAAATCAAATAGTAAGGTGATTTGTTAGTAACCAAGATTGGTTGTTTCTCGTATCAGCTTCATTTTCCACCACTGAGTGAGTAAGGCCTAAAAGGCAGTTAGTGCTTTTGTGGTGTTTATGGAGTTATATCAAACAAAAGTCTTTATTGTTTCTCTCAAATTTATTCTCTCATGTTTTTCCTAAGGGGTTGTCATATATAACTTCTTCTGTCCAAGAAGAATGATTTCATAAAACACAGAATTCTCCCTCTCGGTCAGAGTCATCCAACTACAAGTCTTGACATGCAGGAAATACGTTCCGTGCAGACACAGAACTTTGCCGGGCAGGTCTCTATCTCCATCCCACTGAGGACGACAAGGGACCCTTTGGTGCCTTTAGGAATTTGTGCTTTATGTCCTCATTCACAGACCATCTTATTTATATACTTATTTACTTACTTATTTGAGAGAGGGAGAAAAACATCAATGTGTGGTTGCGTCTCACATGCCCCCACCTGGGGACCTACCCTGCAACCCAGGCATGTGCTGTGACCAGGAATCGAATTAGTGACCTTTCAGTTCACAGGCTGATGTTCAAACCACAGAGCCACACCAGCCAGGGCCAGACCAGCATATTTTTTATTTATTGCCTTTTGTCTTCAGACCTTGAAGACCACAATCCACTTGAGTTTCCATGGTGCCACTTTTTCTTTTTTCCTCCAATCCATTATTTTTTCGTGAAGAGATTCAAGGCAACAAGTGTGTAATTAGAAATTCATACAGAAGTCACCCACACAGAACTGAGAAGGCTGGGGTTTTCTGTTTTAAGGGTATTTGTTTCCCTGTAGGACCTACACATACTATCCACTCCTATTTTAGCCATCAAGAGACTCTTCAAAATATAAAACTGATATAAAAGCAGATTTAGAAATCTTATTTAGTTGTTTTGTTTTTATTGTAATGTCTTTGAGAACTGACATTAGTCAGAAAAAAAGAATACTGCCTTTGCCAGTATCCAGGTTGATATAGGTATAGTAAAAAAAGGAGAAAGAAGAATTTCTAAGAAAGACTTGTTAGATTTCTAAGAGCCTAGGGACAAGAAAAGTTGGTGTAATAATGGAGGTGTAGTTTTACGTCAACCACACTGATGTCTTTGGCCGAAAGTGGCAACACGTCCTCTTTGGGTAGAGAGGCCTGTTAATATTGCCTCGTGATACATTTGGTTTGAATAAGATCGAACACAAGAGAAGTCTACATTCAAACACTCAATAAAATTCTGTTTTGTAAAGAAAACATTGAAAGCTACAACTGTGTGTTCTCTTTTCAACTCTTTTTCACAGCAAGTCCTTATGTGGCTAATTTATGTTGTTTAAACTGCAAGTTATACCACATTATTTGCATTTTCTGTTTGGTTTTCATTTCCATCCACATCTTAGTACATTATTGTAGCAATAGTCTTCGCTTCCATTATCAATAAGCATTTTCTAAGTCTAGGTTGCATTTGAGGAATCCAGGGCTCGCTTCCTATTTCAAATAAAATTTTCTTTATGTCTTCAGGCTTTGGAATATGCTAAGACCATCCCAAAACCCAGACCTCCAAATCCGACCGACCGTGTGTCACAGGGTAAGAACGACCCCGCCCATGCAGGAAATGAAGGTGCTCTGCCTGCAATCTCGCTGCTGGAAGTGCTGCAGAGCAGGCACGAACGGGAGAAAAACGCTGTGGCTGCTTTCAAAGTCCTTCACATCGTCTAGGCCCACATGCAGGGGCCAGGAACACCCTGAGAATGGACACGCAGCGAACTCCAGCCAGCCTCTCTGCACTGAGAGCAGTGAACTATTATCCACATTGAACTGAGGTCCCTCTTTGCTTTGCATGTGATTTAAAATACGGGGCCCTATTACATTATGGTGCCATATTTTACCTTCTAGGGAGAAAAATTTAAATTATTTATTTTCAAATCAGTTAGAATTTGGGGCTGAGTAAGAACTAGGGAATAAAGCCTGTTGGTTTTATATTGGAGCTTTTGATTTCTTAAACAATCTCTACCCTTCCTTAGCATAATGAAAACTTGGAAATTACCCAGAAATAAGTTTATCAACTTGTGTTTCTCTCTTTTACATTTTTGACAATAAAAATATATAAATACTTCAATTTCTGCTAAAATGAACTCCAATTAGACTAATCACCAGTATATTTGGAGATACCATTTCCAAAGTATTTCTAAACTCTTTAAATTTAGCAAAGGTTTTTACTACAAAATTAGAAGAAATGAAGATACATCTGGAGGCGCCTACTCCAGCAGAACAAACCCCCATGTTCCAACAAAGCATCAAGATGCTACCGGGGAAACCCTCCAGGGCCAGGAGCGCCCCCTGCAGGCAGCTCAGAGAGCCACACTTTGCCAGGGCAACCCGCTCCAGACTTCCAGTCAAGATGGCAACACAGGTAAATGCAGTCCTTGCATCCTCTCACGACCACATCAGAGTTACAGCTAAGCTACAGAAAAACTGTCCTTCAGAACCATTTGAAATCTGGCTGAACGTAAGCCCTAAAACTAGAATTTAAAGAAGCAGCCACATGGAGCCTGGGAGGAGGGGTAGAGGCACTCACACGTGGTGCATAAAATTGGACGGATACCTTGAATATGGAGGTGACCCCCGAGGAGCCAGGCCTCCCAGCCCAGGTTTCTAGTGCCAGGAATAAAGTCCCCATGACTTACGGCTGTAAAAATCAGCAGAGATTGCGGCTGAGTGAGAAGGAGAGCTTATGGTGTACCAGATGTTCCTCTTAAAGGGCCTGTGCCTGGACTTATTTGGACTCACTCCCTCTGAGCTCCAGCACTGGGGCAGCAGCTCAGAAGGCACCAGGGACACACAGGGAGGAACTGATTTTCTGGCATCAGGGTGAGAACTGGGAGGACAGCTTTTTCCCCAGACACCCCATAGGCAGGCACCACATCTGAATATCAACCTGACTCATGCTGTTTGCCCCACTGAGGTGATTCCCTGAGATCCCTGCCTCACCCAACTTTCCAGCCCATCAAGCTGTTTCCAGTGGCTTTTTCATACAACTACCTCTCTTGCCTCATGCTTCAGATTTCCTATACAAAAAGAAAACTACTCTCAAACAAGCAACATCTGGCCTCAATATGCCCCAGACCTCTTGCTAAGTGGCCCCAGGCCCTGCATCAACAGCAGCAAGCTTTGGTTTGCAGCTTGACCTCACCTGGGCACCTTCAAGCCCCGTGCAAGTAGCAGCCATCTGCAGATCACCTGGTAGCTCATGCTGGTGGCCCCAGGCAGGGCACAGGCAATGTCTGACCTTGTATCTTCCAGGAGGCCCCAGAGCCAGCGCACCCAATGGACGGCTTCAGACCTTGCTGGATTTCAACCGTACCACCTCCAAGCGACACACTCCAAGGGGTGGACTCAGTGCACACTGGAGCCCCACTGAAGCAAGTCCCTGCTGTAGGGTCCCCTCCATGGAGTTGCAGCTGGCTCTCACAGCCGATCAGCCTGGGTCAGTCCCTCCCAGTAACACTAACAGCAACCAAGACTCGACTACAACAAGACAGAGTCTACAGCCCAAACGGGTGCACCCGGAGCACCTAGCTTGGGTGATGAGGGAGGCTGCACTGCTGTACCCACAGGACACCTGCTGCACGAGTCACGCCAGCACATCCAGGAGACACAGCAGCTCTGCCTAACATAACACACAGAAACAGACATGGGGAAGTGGCCAAAATGCAGAGATGAGGAAACCAGTACCAGATGAAGTCACAGGAGAAATCTCCAGAAAAAGAGCTAAATGAAATGGAGGCCAGTAAACTACCAGATACTGAGTTCCAAACAATGCTTATAAGGATGCTCAAGGAATTTAGTGAGAACTTCAGGGAAATTAGTGAAAACTTCAACAACATGAAAAAGGGCATAGAAACCATCAAAAGAACCAGTCAGAAATGAAGGATACACTAATCAAAATTAAGAATAGTTTACAGGGTATCAATAGTAAAGTAGATGAAGCTGAGAATCAAAGAAAACACCCAATTAGAACAGGCTACATATATAAATACACTATATATTTATGTATATTAGTATATAGTAAGTTTTCATTATATATGTGTGTGTGTATGTATATGTCTGTGTGTGTATTCTCAAAAAAGGAGCCTCTAGGACTACTTTGATTCAATCAACAGTTGTATCATTAGGGTGCCAGAAGGAGAAAAGAAGAGAATGAGCAAAAAAATTGAAAACTCATTTGAAAAAATAGTAACAGAAAACTTCCCTAACCTGGTGAAGGAAATAGACACCCAAGTCCAGAAAACACAGAGTCCCAAACAAGATGAGCCCAAAGAGGTCCACACTGGGATACATCGTAATTTAAATGCAAAAGCTTAAAGACACAGAGAGAATCTTAAAAGTGGTAAGAAAAAAGCAGTTACCTACATGGGAGCTCCCATGAACTGTCAGCTGACTTCTCAACAGAAACTTTGCAGGCCCCAAGGGATTGGCAAGAAATATTTAAAGTGATGAAAAGTAAGAACCTATGACTGAGATTACTCTATACAAGAAGGCTATCATTTAGAATAAAGGGATGGATAAAGAGCATCTCAGACAAGAAAAAGCTGAAGGAGTTCATCATCACCGAACCAATATTACATGAAGTGTTAAAGGGTCTTTTTTAACAAGGAGGAAAAAAAGATAAAAATATAAACAATAAAATGGCAGTGAATACATATCTATCAACAGTTGATCTAAAAAACAAAATAAACAAGCAGAACAGAAATGGGCTAACAGATACAGAGAATGTTTCGTCAGTTGCCAGATGGGAGGGATGTTGGGGGATGGGCGATAAAGGTGAAGGGACTGAGAAGTACAGATTTGTTGAAATTGGTTACAGAATCGTCGTGGGGATGTAAAGTACAGCATGAGGGATACAATCAAGGATATTACAATAACTTTGTCCAGTGTCAGTGTCAAATTTCATGGGCTTATGAAATTTGTCGAGGTGATCACTTAGTAAATTATTTAATGTCTAATCCCTGGGGAGTACACCTGAAACCAATATAATATTGTATATCAACTGTAATTGAAAAATAAAAAATGATTTATAAAAAGTTACTTCAAGTATATAAATTTTCTGGGCATCTTGCCATCATAAATATCTTAAAATTTATCAAATGTGTGCTTTTACACAACAAGATAATATTAGGTAACACAAAACCATTCCATAGTTTACTATGGATGTCAGTATTAATTATTTTTACTTTTTACAGTATTTTGAAGTTGAATGAGCATTATAAAATTCCCAGGTCTCAAGAGGAACCTAGATAATTTAATGTTCTACTTGCCCCTGGGCATCGCATCCTTAGATGCCATATCCAGAAATGGACAATTGTAATGATGATTGAAGACAGATCTGTCTATCTACAGAGGTGGCATAAGGACCAGCTTTGGAGCCCAACTCCTATGTGGTATGCATTTTACATAAGCCATGATGAGGTGTAAGAGCTTCCCATACTTAACTTTCTCTTAAAACTGGAAGCAATTAGAATCACAAGTCTGGGAAGATAACAAGTACCTGACGATAAAGAGCAAACTGACAAATTGTGTTTCTGTGGTATTTGGAAAATCATATCATACCTGAGGAGCTAGTTTAGAAAAATCACAGCTCAAACAGCTCCTAAAATATATCTGTAAAAGAAGAGGAAGCGTCAGCTTACATGGTCAAGACTTTTCTAAGAAACGTGACATGAAATTATTTTTAATGGCTTTAAATTTAACTTACTCTGGAAGATAAAATAATGCTCAGAGACACTTCCGTGTTTCCATATTAAAGTTACAGGGTAAATTTTTATAAATATTCCATTTCCACTAGAAGATCTTAAAATAATTCAGAGCTTGGAATAGCCTTCTCTTGTTCTACCGCCAGTTCTTCAGGAGATGAGGGAAGGGAGCGGGACTCGGAAGGATGCCATCCTTCCAAGGTCCTCTGCTGAGCAGCCAGGTCCAAACTCCGGTCTTGCAACACCGAGGACAGCCCTGCTGGATACTTCTGTATGGGAAGAAGTAATTTTTGTTTTACTGGGTGGGCATGGAGCATGTAGTTGATATGGATTTCAGTTTTAGACTTGAACTTCCATAATGCAGTTCCATGTTCGAAAACATGCATTCCTATGTACCTTATCAAATTTTTAACATATACGACCCAGCAACTTCATTACTACACTGATAAAGCTGTAGGAGACAACTATAAAGCAACTCAGAGGTTGACCAATAAAAAGGACACTATTTCCTCACTTTCCAGCACATTTAAAAATCACCCCCCCAACCATTTCTCTGTTAGCCTAAGCATTGTAACTCTTTCAGGTATTTTCATACATACTGTCAAGAACGCACACTCAGTTAAAGCTGGTTAAAAAATTCAGTCGATTGTCACACAGCATTTCACAGGGTCTTTATTTCCAAGGCAAGTCTCTGTCATTGGGTCTATGGGACTATAGGACACCAAAATTCTCTGTACACAAATATTTTGAGTGCCAAATGGCATCTAAAATGACTTTAGCTAAAGAAACAAGGCCTATTCATTGACCACTTGGGCTCAAAATGAAAAATAGATCACATCAGGCCTTCATCTGGCCCCGAGGGACCTTGTAAGACTCAGCAGACTGTCACTAAGCCACTGTGACACCAGGACACGGAAGAGACTCCGGGAAGACAGTGAGTGGCAAATGATGTTCTACTGGTCCTTTAAAGTAAATTGTACTAATGACAATATTAACCTTTTATAGACTCATATGGATCAGTGATTGTTTTTATAGTTGTTCATTTCAGATGTTTAAGAAATAAAAAGAATCTGCCTACAAGGAAACAAGGGACTTTAAGTGTGTATGCTATGATGATGGAAGGCCTGCATTTTTACCAGTATTATATGTGCCGCTGAGAGACACAGTGTCTAATCTGCCTTGACGCTAAGAACGGGGGTAAATAAGAGACCTTTAAACCATACGTTGCCTCTTATTATGGCCTCCTTTTTTATGGAGGTGTTTTATCTTGAGGTTCCAACGAGACATCCTCTTGGAGCATTTTTCCAAGTAGCTGAATGGCAGCTGTCTTCATGCTATTGTTCTGTACAGAAAGGAGTCTTTTGGGAGTTATCTAGAAACTCAAGACAAGACAATGTTGAGGAACAAATAGAAGGTAAGCCTAGCTAAGGCCCCAGTGCCTAATGCCTCTAATTGGGGCCTTATTATTGGTTAATGAATCATTGTCAATACATCACAGCAAGCATGAGCGTGCACAGTCTAGTCTACAGTGAGAAAATAACTCTTCTTCCCAACGGCTATTATCTGGGAGTTGTTCAAAAACACACCGAGTAATTATGACAACACTAGATCTAATTGAGAACTTTGAGTTGATAGCAAATGGTCTACAATAGCAGACTAGATAAATTCAAGAGGGGTTCTTTTTAATTACTTACTGAAAAATAGCAGAAAATGAATTAAATTACAAGGACAGTCTGCAGATACCAGGGCAAGTTTAACTAATTCCCTCCATGATGTGCTTCAAGACATGTATTATCATTATATTAGAAGTAGCATTTGAAAATACAAAGTTCTTAAGGAAAAATCAAAGTTGCTCTCCTAAATACACCTTTTTTAAAGATTCCCTTTACCTGTTAGAGTGAGAATCTTGAATGCTCTGTATCCCATCCAGCTCTCAAGCATTCATAGCGTTGCAGACTTCTCCCTAATGCTAAGTGTGTTTTCATAACTCCTATTCCTATTGGGTAAAGAGAGACAAAAAGATACAGGAACACTGCCTTTGCCTCTGCCGTTGTTTTCCCAGTGAGGAAAAGATTTCAAACAGTAGCACATACAGTAAGCAGATCAGTGGTTGCTAAGGGTTCAGAGGGAAGGCGGTGGGATGAACAGTTGGAACAAAGGAGTTACTTAGGGCAGGAAAAATACTCTGTATCATAGGATGTACACCATTATACACAATACGTTTTTCAAAATCTATAGAATCTGTCACACAAGAAAATGAACCTGAATGTGAACTGTAGAATTTAGCAATAGTTAATGATACTGTTTGTCAGTCATCACCGATGTACCACACTAATGCAAACTAATGATATGGGAAGCTGGTAGGTGGTACCTTTATGTACTGCCCACTTAACTTTTCTATAAACCAAAATCCATTTGATAAATAAATAAACAGTAGCACAGAGTGAAATTCTTTAAATGTTGTGGGTTTTGTTTATTCATAGTGTGTCCTTCCCCTTCTACCCCTGATTATAAGTTGTCTATATTGTCAGGCAAAACTTGTATACTATCAAGGAGAAATAAAGAAGCAACATGTATCCTAGTAAAGTGTTCATTTAGACATTTATTCCACCTTGGTCAATACGTTGAAGTAGGCTCTCAGAGGAGCTAAAGCCTGACACTCGGCACTGTCCCCTCACCCCGCTGCCTCCAGACTGAGTCCAGGATTTGTCTGTTCCCTCCGCGTGACTTCACTAAGAGGAGTCACAACATTTCCTAAGCAAACATTTGGTCAATGAAAAGCAAAAAGTTTTAGATGGCGGATTTTTCATTCATTTAAAAATTTTATTCCCTGGTCTTAAAGATTCCTGTTCTTCATGTTTGGTTACTTGATCTGGACTTAGTGAGACAAGTGGAAAGTTGGGGCTTCCCCAAAATGGAACCAAAAAATCACATCGCAAGATGCAAAGTGAACAGACTTTTCAGCTCTCTCCACCTCTCAATACAGGGGCTCTTCGGGTATTATGAAGAGAGGAAGCAAGAATTTGGTGGGCAGGGTTTGTCTCCCTTGCTGCCTCTCCACTGCCCTTTCATTTCCCCTTGCTGTGTAAGTAATTAATTTTCAATAAGCTGCATAAATGGTCTTCTGCTATTAAATAGTCTAACAGGTTGAGAGGATTACAATGATATGAGCATTTCGGGCAAACGCAGGGTCCAGCAGAAGTAGCACCTGCTTCAGTGTGGTTGGTAGGGTAATAATATGGGTGTAAGAATCTATAGTTTTAATTTGAACATTTCACCTAAAATGTCACATGTGCTTCAGTGTGATATTGTTGTTACAGAATTACATGCTTATGCTTTTGTAATAAAAAGGGGCATCATGTGTGCTGGACCCTGTATATTTAGTGAAGCCTTGGAAACAGAAGATTCCATTAATGCCCCTCACTGAGCGGCAGCTCACAGAGGCCGCCCAGCACGGGGGCTGCCGGACGGGCCTCCAGGGTGCCCTCTGTCACTAGAGTCCCAGGCTTGTGCAAGAGATATTTAAATAGTAGATAGCCTCATGGTGCCAATTTGACAGTGGAGGAAACAACCTTCAGACATTTAAAATCCAAAGAGTACACAGGAGAAGGAGGTAGAGAACGGGATGAATATCCAATGAACAAAAGCAATGTAGGTCTCCACGCTAAATGGTTTGGGGCACCAGTGTGCCCGTCCCTCCTCTATGGCAGATTTGTCCCCCAAATCGATCCTGATGCCTTCTTTCCCATCCAGACCCCTTCCAAAGCCCCCATCATGCAGCCAATGGGCCTTGCCCCCCCCCACACCTTGGGCCCCAGCAGGTCTGATGTCTCTTACCAGTCCCTCTGCTGCCTCCACGCGATGGGAGCATTTGATGCTGTGTTGATGAAGTCCCTAAATTTGTTGTCTCTGCAGAAAATTGACAATCCCTATCATACGAACCTCAAGTGCCTATTTTTAATGAAACCTTTAGATGAATATCAAAGAACGATTTAGCCGTGTCTAATGTTTTAATTAGATTATATTCTCAATTTAACCCATTAAGCCTCCTTTGATGATCCCTGTATTTGGGGTTTAGCCTCAGATGCACAAGGTAATGAATACTGGACCTTTTGATTTAATGAGAATTTTGGCTCTTTCAGCCTGCACCTCTTTGTATACCTTTTATTTTGCTGGCTATAG